TAAAGAAAGGAAATCAATTACCGTATCTCAAAAAGAGGAGCTGTTGGTAAGTGACATTTATGTAGATTTTCTGTAGCATGTAAAAGTGGCCTTTATTTTTCTAAGCGATATTTTCTGCTCAGAGTCAAATTCTTTTCATGCAGCTTACAAAAATAAATACTTGTATTTTGCTAAGATCATAATAGCTCATTAGAAGAGGCTGAATTTGGACCTAGACTAAAACCTAACACCACAGGGCTGAGCATGCTTACTTGAACCTATAATGTTGCTAGTTCTTGCTCTCTGGGGAAGGAGAGGACGAGGGGAGAGGATTCAGCCTTCTTAATTGTGAACCTCATTAGTGACGGTTGCTAGGCAAAACACACACCTACTTTCCGCGCATATGAAAGAGATAAACAATACGTCATAGACCATAATGACTCTGGTGCTCAGGGCGACCTTTAATTATTATATTTTTGGTCTCTTATACCTTAGTTATTAATGCAGAAAAACAAATTAGGGTTGTGTGTGTGGACCGCGGCAGATTTGTAAATCATTTTCCATTTTTTGATGTCTAGATCGCTTTGCCTTCTGATAGTTGGTGCTTGCCTCATTCATTTCCCTCTCTGCCCATTGGTAAATACTATTTAAAACCTAAAATGGCAATGTTTGTATTAGCAGCTTAATATTGTTATCACTTTAATTAATTTTATTAGTGTAAAAAGCCATGATTCTGTCAATATGTTGGTAACAACTTGAAAGAGCAGTCCCATGCAAACTGATGCACATGGCCTGGCCACATCAGGTCACAGTGGGTTTTTGAGAATCTAGCTCTTTCAGAACTGGAGATGCGTTTGATCCCTGTGCATTTAAATTTTGGGTAGCCCTAAAGTGTTCAGGCAGTTGGATTGGATGATCCTTCCGAAAAGATTCTATCCTGTCCTATCCTATCCTATCCTATCCTGTCCTATTTTACCCTATCCTATTCTATCCTGTCCTATTTTACCCTATCCTATTCTATCCTGTCCTATTTTACCCTATCCTATTCTATCCTGTCCTATTTTACCCTATCCTATCCTATCCTACCCTACCCTATCATATCCTATCCTAACCTGTCCTATCCTATCCTATCCTGTCCTATCCTGTCCTATCCTATGCTATCCTAAGCCAGTTTAAACCCTTACATTGGTGTATTTTACAGTGCAAACGAACTGATATTTAAATCTAAATGATTATTTTGGGCTTTGCAGGCAAATAAATACATGTGTTCATGTGCACGGGCACAGCTGCGATTGCGTGCGAGTGATTCGGAGGCTGATGGGCTCCAGAAAGATAGGATTTCACAATTCTGGATTTCCAGAGACACTTTCCATTCTCCTCTTCATCTCAGACTATCTTCTTTTAGCAGTTCAGGCAAGAAGTCAATCACATTGAGTCAGGCTGAAGAAAAACATTTTATGCTGTTTTTCTCATACAAACCCCCTCCTGCCGTAATCTGCAGTAAGGCCCAGCCACAGGAAATTGACCTCACAGTAAATTCTTTACAGATTCGGTCATGTTTTTACCATCCACTTAAACTTGCATACATAACCTGAGACTGTACCTCTGGATCAAGGAATATGGCAAGCCAAAATAAAATCAAGTCAAATTAAAGAGCAAGAAAAAGCTGCAAGCAAAACAAGACTGAAATAAAAAAAAAAAAAAAAGAAATAAAAGAGGAAAAGATGAAAAATTGGTTGTGACTGCAAAACTCTAAGTATTAAATAAAGAAAGGAGTCAGAAGCAAATTCAGAAGTGTCCATATTCTAGTTGACAAGGGTTGAGAAATACTAATGGACTCTTTTTAATGGGTGGTTTGATGGATGAGAGAAGAAATGATGTAAAAGTAAATGTAGTGGTGTCTCAACATAAAGTATGGTGCAAAACAAAAAAAAAATAAAAAAATAAAATAAAATAAAAAAAGGCATTGCAAATAAAAAAAAAGACATGTAAATGTGTGCCTACCATTTTCCAGATAAGAAGGGGCCGTACCTTCTGAGGGGTCAAGGCGGCGAGCCCGCCTCCCGTGTTTGGAATTGTTGTGTACAAACATGTTGTCTGAGACAGCCAGCACGTGGCCATCCACATTGACTGTTGTTGATACAACAACCTGGAAAAGAGAACAAAACCTCACATTTAAAAAATCCTGCAGATTTGCACTGAATCAGGTCTCGTAAGACACAACAACATCCTGTTACTTTTCTATTTCTATTTAAACCGAGTGAATGACATCTCTGAATACATCTTTGTTTACGTGGCGACCACTGGTGATTTTTAACTCACAATTGTTTCTCTTCAGAACCTGCTACACTAATTAGAGTTTAATCTCCTATTATGCTAACAAATGAATTCAATTCAGGAAAATATTCTTCTAGCCATTAGTTTCAGAAACACCCCTCTAGCCACTCATTTTAAAAGCTGCTGTTTTGATTGATCTGTTGATATATTGATTAGATAGTTTATCTAATTAAAATTTGTTCACTTGAGACTGTCTTCAAATGAAGGGTTGTGAGGATTCCAAATAAAAAAAGCTTAATAAATCAGGAACCATCGTAACTCCCCATTTTTTCTTCAGTAAATGATCTCCAGGTCAGTTTTACAATTACATTTAATGTCTGATAATGAACTTTTTTGCATCTGAAAAGACCGAGTTGAATATGAATAGTGAAAGTGTTTTCAATCCATGAAAAGTATCCCTTCTCAAGTTCATTTGGATGGTGATTGACCCTGGTATGTCAATGGAATTTCCTCCTTTATTTTTGAGTGAAAGGCTCCTATTCTTGTGTCCAGGTTCAGAGTCCGGCCATAGAAGAGATGATGGATAGGGCCTCCTTTGGCTTCCAGCTGCTTCTCAGTAGAAAATGGCAAAGGAACATATGCAAAACGCACAACCTTCCCGATAAAAACACCTACACAATGGAGCTGTGAAACTCCTTCCGGAAGCGATATCGCGTGAACACAAGCCAAGGAGGAAACCGGGAGCTGCGCCTGTGTTTGTGTGGAACACGGCTCCGTAAGTCCAGCACTGTTATCCCAGAGAGACATTTACACCTTACTTAAATACTCCAGAGTGGGCTCTGTGCTGTGGGTTCCAGGTTTTCTGCATGAAGGATTTCATGCACTGCAGCGATTTCTTTGGGGTTAGTAGAGTCCGTAAAGTCAAAGGCTAAGTTAGACCTTATCAACCCAACCAGTGATGGCAGCAAAAGGTAGGACAAATTTTAGTTTTCACCTTCCGTTTATTTTACTTTGGGATGTAATAAAGATGACTGAGGGGTTCTCCCACCAGCTCCTCAACCCAAACACTTAACAAACACAAATGGAAGGGGAGAAATGAACCTCCTTTTGCACAGAGTTGGTCCAAGGCATCAGAAGAAAATTCTTGTCTGCTTCTATGTTTTGGATCACCTCTGATCCTGTTTCTTATTCACAAGCCATAATGAGCTTTCAGCTATCACAGCACCTTTCCTGTGTATCCCGCGTCCTTTGAGACAGCCATCTGCGGTACCCTTTAGAACAGCCCGAGGGCAGTTCTCTGCCAGGCTGCTCTGCTTCCCCAGCTCTCTCTTCCCACAAGTGGACACTTTCACTCTTGTCAACATCCACTTCGGAGAGTGCTGAGGTTGCACGCTTGCCTTGGCCACAGAGCTGCTGCCAGGCCACTGGGCTATCAGCTTTCACTCCTAATGAGATTCCCAGACTTTAAGAAATATTGCAAAACATACAATCACGATTTTCAGCCAAGATTTCTGGGTTTGGTTCCTAGAACACGGTGTATTAAAAAGACAGAGCAAGGTGTATATGAAAATGACAACTATTTTTGTTCTGTCATGTATATATAGGTCAGTCACCAAGGGAAAATACTGTAGTTCAGCAAAAGAAAGTCGACGTGCTACGCTTTGTTATATCACCTTCCTCCTGCAGTGCACCTCCAGAAAGGTGCTGAGACAGTGAAACCAGGTAAAAATACTGTTCAAGATCTGACATCCTGTTAAGTCCAGTTAAACCTTCTGAGAGGCAGGAAGATTAGTTAAAGAGACCCAGGAAAGTCTTTCTAGTGCCTACTGGCTCCATTGTCAACCACAAGATCACTCCTGACTGATGCTTCATTTAGTCATCGGTGAGACAAAGAGGACATTTCCACTCATTCCAGGTTTGACCTTCTGTTCTGTTCAGATGGATCAATATCACCGATGCCACGTGAAGCTGAGATGCATGAAAAATGGAAGCTTGGCTCAATTGTTTTGAAGGAATATTTTTTTCCCAGCTACAGATCTTTTCTGTTGGCTGGCTCAAGGGTGCTGGCTTCCCCGGTTGGTTGGCTGTGCATGAAAACAGATGTCACATGTTTTTCTATCAAGTTTAACCACAAGTTATTCTTCTCCAAACTAAGAAAATCTTGAACATCTCAATACTACTTTATTATTAGAATCAAATATGACTCATTGTGAAATATTTTCAAATAAAAGGCATTTATTTCCTAACAAGCCTTTCGAATGACCCCACATACGGAGGAAATCATTTGTCCATCCCGTCAGCTGTCTCTCTGTAGTGTTATGATTCACCACAGGATATCTCAAAAGCTGTAAGGAGAAAGTGAAGTATTAAACATTTTCTAACACAATTGAAACAAAAATATGTGTGTTAGGCCACCACTGGTGGATTTACAAGTTGTGAACCTGAAAAACCCCTGTGCGAGATCCAAACTCCCCTGCGCTCCACAGTCGTGTCATCAGTAAGATCAAACTACTCAGTCTATGTAAAACCTCTGCGGGTCTGAGCATACTCCAAACTACTACACAAGGTGTTAGTAGGAAGGAAAATTAGGGAAATATTTTTTAAGGAGAGATCCGCTTGCTTCAGCATTGATCCATTACATTCCACTGCAGAACTTGGAACGTCCCAAGAACCAGCATTTAAATTAGTGGGGTAAATGTAAAATACTGACAGCAATTTTTTTTAAGCATTGGAACTACACTAAGTAGAAGCCCCAACACTGATTTTCCATTATGAAAAGTTCAAGATGAAGACGTGACTAAGTCTTTTATGTATCGTTTATGCTTTTAGAGGGATCTGTACCTGGAATCTTCGCATGTCTCGCGGGTTGCCTGCATTCTTCAAACAGTTCTGATTGCACTTGAGGAAAAACTTTAGAAAGAATCTATAAAAATACAAAATTGAAATCTATTAGATTCATCAAAATGTAAATCCAATTTTTAAAAAGTTTAATAAAATTTAATCATAAATAGTTTTACCCAAAAGAATACTGGTAGTGAAATATTACTTTCCTATTCGTTAATGAACTTATTTTAAAGCATAAGAATCTCTGTCATAAACAGAACATTATTGCCAAGGAAAGGCAAATTTATATTTTTAATTTTTCAACAACTACAAATGTATTGACTCCAGGCCATATCCTTAACTCGGTGTGGGAAAGTTGATTTCGATGACTCATTGACTTCAAAGGCAAGGACTTACACCAGATGAGAATTTGTCTCTATTTTTTTAATACTTCTTACTTTTTCACAACTTATATTAGCAGTAATGACCTCTACGTTGAAAAATTCCAAAGGTAATGAATGATCAATCTTCTGAAAAACACTTGGCTTTGCCTCCGGTTTGGAAAGGCTCGCTATTCAAAGGGACTCGATCCAACTCCTGTTGACTCCAGGGAGATCCAGGCAGGATCTGCCCACCGGCAAGGCCCCAGTTTCCTCATTGTTTTTGAAAGGAAAGGAACATGGCAAATTAGGCCCTGTCTTACGACCTCTTCAACCTTTGCCAGCCTTTAGCTGTGAGGAGTCACTCTACCCAGGGATCGAAATCCAGCTTATTTCTGCTGAGCGGTAACCAGCAATTATTTAGGACTAACCCTTATCATCCAGGCATCTCCCCATAAACCGTTTTTGCAGCAACGCTGCCTCAGGGGAACACAGCAAGCACTTAGAGGAAAGGGGAAAGCTTGGAAAGATGGAAACTCCTTTATGCCGCCCTCCTGTACTGGAGGAAGGAGCTGAACTGGGAAGTCTCCACCCTGCAGGTGAAACAAAATGGGGGACCCTCACTGTCCTGCCATCACACAGGAGGACATTCACAGCGCAACACCACATCTTTTCTTTATGTTGTTATGTTTTTGCGTTTCATCTCTAGAAAATATTTTGTGGATCTGTTCTCTGTCTAATGACTGACAGCTAATGACAAGCAAAGCTCAGGACTTTCTCCTCACCTAGAGTGCCTCAGATGCTCGAGTCCAGCAGCTTGTGCTCCCCAACTTCATACGTGTTGAACGGCGAGGTTAGTCAGAGCTTTCACGTTTAGAATATGAACAATTATTATTTGTTCGTTCATATCAGTCATATTATAACTGACCATGACTATTCTTGCTGTACACACCTCATAGAAATTTCCATGTGCCAACAGCATTCCTGGCAAGAGGCAAGACAGGCACCTCGTCCCTTCTTGAGCACCCAACACGAACCAACCATGGCCAATAGAAAGTACAACTGTGGCTGCACCACATCGTGCTCACTCCTGAGAAGCTTCAAAGGTCGTACAGGAGTATCATGGAATTATCCCCAGATCACAAACCACTGCTTTTAATCCCAGGTCTTCCTGTTCCATTAAACCTTGAGTAGGACCCTGATATTACTACAGGACACTAATGCTGAAGGAGCGATCTCTCCTATCAGAGATGCAAGTGGGGAAACAACCAGCTTTACCGAAACTGCATAAATAAATCAATGCTGTCAGTTCAGCTGAATGCACGCTTCTTTAAAAATTCTTATCCCAAAACCTGTACAGGGGTTTTAGCTGTCAAGCTGTAAAAGATCGGGATTTCCGTGGGGGTTGACGTGATATCCAGGTTTTCTGGACACTGCTGCAGGGACATTATCATCAACTCCACGAAACTTCATCTTTGCTAGACACAACTTCCCCTTAATTTTATCTGCATTGGTTGGGTTTTGGTGTTTTTTAATATACTTATTCTCTCCAGATCAACTGAGTATAGGCCAGGTTCCCTGCCCATAGCAGGGGGTTGGAGCAGGATAGTCTTCAAGATCCCTTCCAATCCAAACCATTCTGTTTCTATGATTCTAAATGTAACATTCCTGTCGTTTATCTGGTTTTGCACACCTTCCACTGCACAGATTGTGATGATGTGCAAGGACCAGCTGATGCCCACACACAGGACCACCTGGCACTGGGGATTTAGGAGCTGGGACAAGCCTCCAGCTTTACGGCTCCTTAGTGCCACATCCAGGTTGAGGAGTAGTATCTTATCTTTTTTTTTTTTTTTGCTGATCTCGAATGGGTGTTGTGAGGCTTATTGAGCTAATGTTTGTAAATTGCTCGGAAATTCTCCAATGAATTGTGCACTAGGAATGCTAAGTATTGCTCCTCGTGGATTGTTTTTAGAGTGAAGCATTCATGATGAATTGTTTCTATACAGAGAGCTCACATCCTGTCAAAGAAAAAGGGCCATTAAGCACCCTTTCACTAAACATCAACTGGAACCAGTATTTGTTCAATTATTTGGTGAAAAGGACCCACTCTTGCTGAAATTAGACATCATCAAGTTTATTTAGATGGTCCTGAGCACTGGGCTAAATATTGAGGCCGCAAGGCTGGAGTGAACACAAGCAGCACTTGTATTTCAGCTCCATTACATTCCTTGATACTGAGATATTTTATTTCATTCTTTAATCTGTGCTTTCAGAGAGTTCATGGAGCACAGGTGGCATCAAGACAGGATTTTTAGAGGAAGACAACATAAGTTAAAAACCACATTCCCAGGCAGGGTGTTTACTTGCCAGGAGGAGACAACTGGCTTGGTCATTCCGCTGACCAACAAGGACTGTGGGCACTACAAACCCATCCCTTCCATCCCAACCACTTTCTCTGCTAGCCCTGAGCTCCAGAGACAAGGTCTCTGTGGCACAGCAAGAAGCAAGGACCTGGATCAGTGCTCTGCTTGGTCATGTCTCAAAATTTGATGCTCCAACAGAATGCGAGAAGTCAAGCCTTCCTAGATTTGGCTCTCCCTGCTATATTTTGTATCATATGCACAAACCGTAGAATTTTTTATTACAGAAGAGCCTTCCCAAATGTGCTAAGCTGTTCCTAAAATACTGATACAGAGAAAAATGCAGTCTTTGCGATGTTCCCTTGCTCTGATTTTTTCCCACTGTTAGAAAGGGGCCTGCTACCATCTTAATTAAAATGTATTACCTTCCACAAGACTCCACTATTTTAAGCTAAAATTTACATCTTTTATTAACTCACCTCACCTATACACTTATCTGGCGGTGCCTCTTGCCGCCCATCTGCCATCCGCATACAGTAAGTCACTTGATATTCCACCCACCAATTTTTCCTAACAACCACTGTGCAATTAAACTCCACACGTTCTGTTGCGAGGTAAATTAGGCACACCTGCGGCCAGCCTGCATTTGAACCGCATCAGAAAAGGACCTAACAAGGTGAGAGCGTACCACAAAGTTATAGGCCTGTCAAGCAATTAGGTTTTCACTTCTGGGACATCCGCACAGTGCAATTATGCTCCACATTACAACCTGGCTAATCTTCTGAACAAATGTCATGTCTCGGAGAAGCGAGTAAAAGCAGTTCATCTGCAAATGTGTCTGCTCTTAAGCCTCCACCTTCTGCACATAACAACCTACAGGAGACTTTTTTTTGCGGTATGAAAGATGGTTTTTTTCCATAGAAGATTTTTTAAGCCCTGCAAGTGCCTTTTCATCCTGTTCACCTCTTCTTAACCTCTGTGAGAGGAGGTGTTGCAGCAAATAGACCAGAAAGACTTTTGTACTTGAATTTCAACACTAAGCAAGAAAATCCTTGGTGTTATAAGCACAAGTGGTGGCTTTAGTTTGGCCCAATTCAAATGCTGTTTGGCTAAAGGAATATTTGTGGCACAAAACCACCCATTACATCCCAGAAACACCATTAATAAAGGGTATTTCCACCAGACCACAAACAGAAGCCTCATTCATGCAAATAAACCTCAGAAGGAAGTAAATGCTTAATTCTTTTTACTTCAGATACGGAGTGTGAGTGTCCTGGTGTCAACGCCTTAAACCAAACTCTGCACTGATGAGAGGTGAGATTGTAAGGAACTCAGCCAAAACCTGCAGTGACAAGCTGCCTCTACCCCATTACCCAATAAGATCTTCCCAACATCCAGCTCAAACAGGATCAAGGACACAAAACTGTATCAGCCCCACAGGCAGCATTTTGTTTTACTCCAACAATTCTGTTTCGTTTTCATCTGTATTTCAGGTGCACAGTTTTGTTGTTCAATTAAGCCTACAGATGAGATCTTGCTGTACTACAAAATACAGAATTGTTAAGATATGACAGGTCTGCTCTACTTTCAAGAGTGAAAAAAAAATCGGATTTGGATCATTATCTGCAATTTTGAAGTTCTTTGGAGGAGAAGCTGTCCACAGGGGCACGATGCTGTTAGGAGGTGGAGGCAGGAGAGAGAAGAAGAGACATTTGAAGTCAAATGGTAATTCTTATCCTTTACTCGATTACCCTTTAATTGGCTTTTTCCTAAGAAATATCTGACAACCACTTTGCATATCTCTTTTCTAGAGCCTCTAAACAAAGGATTTAATACTCTTGTTATGAAAGGAAAAATCTTTCCTCTGTCAGAAAATCTTTTGGCTTTAGCACCAATAAACTCTTTATTACTGCTAAACTTGGATTTGCTGCTCGATCGCAAAGAGGCGATAAAAACTCTAACCTGTCATTAGTGCATTATGCTTAATTGTGTACAGTATGTTTCCAGTTGCATCTGTTGGCCCATTATCAAAATGACCATTATGTACACTAATTCCCTGACCCTGTCTTTATTTCCCTAAAGAGTCATAATCTTTCACAGTAGGTATCAGAGTAAATCAAGCTTGAAATATGGGCTTTATTTACTTGTTTCTCCCAGGCAGAGTGGAAGACTGTAGCTAAAGACAAACTGCTGGAGATAAGTAGCAAGTATGTTGTAATATTCCACTTGGAGAAAGGGTGGAAGCTATTGGGTGACCACTGAAATAGTCAAAAATGTCATTCCATTTCTTTTTTATTTCAGTTCTATATCAGGTAAGGATAAGGAAATATTTATCTCTGGTTTGTGGTTCAGCTACA